CATGGGCGTCTGGACCTGTTTTTCTGGACATTTCTGTACATTGGTATCCTCCTCTTTGCATGAGCAAGTGAAGGCAGCCCTCTTTATTCTATCGCTTGGTCTCATCCTTCCCAGCCTGCTCTGCGGGAGGCTGCGCCTTCCATGCTGTCTCTTGACATTGTCCGGGCATTAGGAGAGACTCCGAGAAGCGGGGTCCCTCTGCTCCCCTGAAGAGGGAAAGTTGTACTTCCTAGAAAAGGGGAGTCCTTGCACCTCCCAAAGAAGATCTGAACTAGGGAGTCTCCATGGCAAAGCCTGCTAAAGCTCTCCTCTTTGTTCCTGGTTAATGCTGAAGTAAGTTAGTTATTCATTGACCTCTGTAAACTTAATTGGGACCCAGGTGACAATTGGCTTATTGTTCTTACGCATGAACTGTCACAAAAGAAGTAAAAATTGTTAAAGATATAGTTAGGAAAGAAATGGTTTGGCCCTGAGAACTATGGAGAACAAGCTGCTCTTAACCCACTGTGCCTAACCTGGGGGGTACCTGCTTGCGGCAACAGTACATCTCCTGGTGTATGGAAAAGTGAGCAGTATGCAGCTTATGGGGACGTTCGGTATTTCTAGTTGAAGGTTAGATTTCTGTAGAACTAAACAGTATTGATGAGTTACTTTAGATCACTTTGAAGTAATTGATAATGGGCTGGAGGAATTGAGTACTAGGGAATGGGTTGATTTTAGTCATAGAGCATAACAATGGACTTTCATGTCCACTCGGAAATTAGGAAGGCTTCACAGGGTGATTGATTGTTACTGAACATTGTACTGTCTTAGACAATGGATTACGTTAGAAAAAGAGCTGTACCTAGGGGAGTCATTGTCCCTGTAGATTTTCTTAATCAGATAAAGGAAGTGTCCTTTTGTAGTATGAGATCAAGAGGGTCTTTGTATGTTCATGAGAAAATAAGTGATGGTCTCTGTTCTGCTTTGATGCTTATGCTGATGTCATCTCACCGCGGGCCTTAAGGTATAAAGAAAGACCTGCTGAGACCCTCGGGAGGAGATACTTGCAGGAGAGAAGGTGTCTGTGTCTTCCTCACTTCTACCTGGCTCCCCTTCCCCTCAGCCCTCCAAAAAACTTCACCAAGGCCGTCCTCTCCTGCTGAGATCCTTGGCAGGACATCTAGCTGGAGCTGGTCTCCAACCTGCTCAGATTCCCCACCTTGAACACTCCCTGTTCACTGAACTCCGCCCTTTATCCTTTCATCAGACAGGAGTATGGAATCAGGGAAGAGGTAAAATGCATGTTGATTTTCCCTAATTCTAACTGAAATGTAGCATTTTATTTAATGGTGGCATCCAATTACAGTTGTAGCAGCAGTGTCTGTGATTGTCCTGCCAGCAGAACCACATGTATTTTCAGCTCTCATGATTCGTTTTGCTTTTACAGTTGACTGACCCTTATGGAACAGGGGGTTGGGGCATTGATCCCGGGCAGTGGAAAATCCATGTATGACTTTTCAGCCCCCGGAAACATTATAGTCATCCCTTGGTATCTGGGGGAATTGGATTTAGAATCACACCCCCACACCCTCAGCAGATAGCAGAAGTGCACAGATGCTTAAGTTCCATAGAGTTGGCCTGGAGAGTCCTCAACACAGGGTCAACCTGCTGACATCTGTTCACCGGACCGATTTCTGCACCACGAGCCAAAACACCACCAGGCCCTGATGTCATGTTGCTGGGCTTTGCCCCTTGCGGTTTCTGCCCTCTGGGTTCACTCAGTTCCAGCAGGGAATCAGCTGGTCAGTGGCTTTGTTCTGGTCACCGGGTGGCGCCAGAGACCTGCACTTGCTGACCTTGCTTTTCCCCAGTGGTTCTCTGAGAAAAGGTTGGGGGGGGCACCTTAACACAGGGGCTGTCATTCAAGCCAGGTGCTGTGTCTGCAGCGTGTTCACCTGGCTCTGTGCCCACAGCTGTGTGGATCCTGCCCCCGAATGCTGCGCTCTAGGTCTCAGTTCCAGGGCTGTCATGTCCAAAACACTGGCTGTCGCCCTGTGCAGTGCCCGCTGCTAGGGCGTGACCCACACCCAGGATCCTGTGCCTGGTTCTCTGTCCCAGGATGGGGTCTTGCTCCCTGCCTGGTTTCCCTTCTTACCTCCGTTGGCCACACTGTGCTACTTTTCCAGTGTCCAAACCTTGGACAGTTTATCTGCATTTATTGAAGTGATTCTTTATTCAGTTTCCACACACAGCTCTCTCCTAGATGTCCTCCTGCTCTTTTTTTCATGTTTGTTAATGTCGGATTTAACTAGTATGCAGTCCCTGATACTGCAGGAAATTATTCTGCGGTAGTCACATTTTCTGTGTTCTCTCTATTTTATTCTCACTGACTGTTTTCTTTAAGGTACTTCCTCAGGCATTTGTTTATTCACTCAGTATGTTCATGGAAAGATTTTGACAGTGGTAAATTTTCTCTTAGTGGTGGTAAGAACAGTAATCACGGAAGTGGCCTTTGCTTTGTTGAAGTGATATTCTGTGAGAAAGGAAAATGTGGGCCTCCCTGGTGGTGCAAGGGGTTAAAAGTACAGCACTGTGAAAGTATCTGTGGCCTCTGCAGCTCGAGTTCGATCCCCATCCAGCCAGGGAGCTAGCCACATGGTGTGGCAGACCTCTCCTGTCTGGTCTGCTGCTCCCCTCAGCAGTGTATTTTAGTCATCCTGCGTGTTCTACTCCCCACTGTGACTCTGGCAAATCCTCTCACCCCCTACACTTCTGGCCTACCCCTCTGCTCTTGTATGCATAAATGAATGAAATCAATCTTTAAAAAAAAAAAATAAGAGTTCAAGACTATGGTGTGGGGAATGTATAGTTATTTTCTATGTCCTTTTTTAGCAACCTTACTTGAGATATTGTGAAGACACCTGATGAATATAATTCAGCCCTAAATCACTTCACTCTATGGCTTTCTCCTGGTATGTACGTGGAGTCTTTTTTTTTTTTTTTTTTTTTAGAGGCATGCTTTTTATTTATTTATTTATTTGTTTGTTTGCTTGTTTTTTTTTTGTTTATACATGCACTGGGTACAGTCAGAAGCGCGGGAGGGTGAGAGAATTCACCAGAGCCAGAGCGGGGAGCAGAGCAGGCAGAAGGACCGAAGTACACTGCTGAGGGGAGCAGCGGGCGGCAGGAGAGGTCTGCGCGCCATGTGGGACCCTCCTGTGGTGGCCGGGGAGCAGCCGGGGATCGAACCGGCGCCGCAGAGGCTGCGGGCAGCTTCGCAACCCAGCGCTCAACTGCTGCGCCACCGGGGAGGCCCTGTACGTGGAGTCTTGTATTGCACTTTTCGTGCGTCAAACATCTAAGGGAACCTCCTCCAGGTGATGAGTTTCTTTACATCTTAATTGCTTGGGTACATTTACGATGGTGTCATGTATCTTGAATGAAGAAAATCTAAATGGATATGCTGTTTGTGGCTGACTGAAAAGATTGATTTCAATCACCCAGAGGAGCCGTGGACTTCATTGTGGGCATAAAAGTTAGGCAGAGAAACATGCTGAAGTTCAACTCATTTCATCATTTTCTCCTACAGGGAATACACTAACAGTTTATTAATATCCTCATGTGTCTTCATGGTCATAATGGAGCCATGAATATTATTGGACGTTGTTTCCAAAAGAAATCTTCACAAACATGTGATGAAGGAGCAGGTGAGCTTTTCATAACAGCGTGGAATTCTTGTGCATTCACATTAGCTAAGCACAGCATCTTTATGTTGAACATCGACTCTGTGATCCAGATATCAGAAGGTCAAGATGCTTCTTAAATACCTGAATCTTGATTTTGATGAAATGTGTCTTGGTATCTGACTGTCTTATTTAGACTATATGTGAACTTCTTATGTGTATATATATATTTTTTTATTATAGAGGCATGTTTTATTTATTTATTTATTTTATTTGTTTGTTTGTTTTGTTTACACATGCACTGGGTACAGTCAGAAGCGCGGGAGGGTGAGAGAATTCACCAGAGCCAGAGCAGGGAGCAGAGCAGGCAGAAGGACCGAAGTACACTGCTGAGGGGAGCAGCGGGCGGCAGGAGAGGTCTGCGCGCCATATGGGACCCTCCTCTGGTGGCCGGGGAGCAGCCGGGGATGGAACCGGCGCCGCAGAGGCCACGGGCAGCTTCGCAACGCATCGCTCAACCGCTGCGCCACTGGGGAGGCCCTATGTGAACTTCTTATGTGTATTTTTTAAATTAGTTCATACAAGAGCTGGGGTGCAGGCTGAAGGGGTGTGTGTGTGTGAGAGAGAGAGAGAGAGATGGGGAGGATTCACCAGAGACAGTGTGGGGCGCAGAACAGGCAGACAGAGGAATACACTGCTGAGGGGAGCAGCAGGCACCACAGGAGAGGTCAGCCCAGCCCTGTGGGTCGCTCCCTGCTGTGGAGGGGTGGATAGCTTCTGAGTCAGCGCAGTGCTTAACCCCTTCAGCCCCCGACAATTCCTATCCCCCTTATTTTAACCCTAATCCCTCCTCCCTCTGACCCCAAAACCCCCTGTTTGAGAAACCCCATCTCTGGTTTATAGTTGCTTGTAGTTGAACATCTCTTACCTGTGCTTTTTCAAACCCCTTCATTGCTTGAACATTCTGTTTTCGGGTTCAGTTTTTGTTTACTGTAAGTTGGAGATCCCAGGCTTTGAGGTCACAGGAGTAAAATATTGGCACACACTTGTACATGCTTTTCATTTGTTATGAAGCTCCTTTTGCACATGCTTCCAGGTATGTGTCTGTTACACCTGCCAACCAGGTTATCAGCTCCTCAACGAGCAAATTTTATTCATCCTTTTTTTCTTAGAATCATACAGACTTTGAAATTGATAAGGTAAGCTATAGTTCTGCTTTAAGGACCGAACGGGTGAATGTAGACGCGAGGCTCTTTCAACTGGGAATTCTATACATCCTATATAGGACCAAAGGCCCACAAAATAAGATGTTTGTACTTGCTCTGTCTGACCCAGGCTGCCGGCCCGGAGATGAGAAATGTTTCCTCAGAAGGGACGGTGTCATTTGAAGACGTGGCTGTGAACTTCACCTGGGAGGAGTGGCGCTACCTGAGTGAAGCTCAGAGGACCCTGTACTGGGATGTGATGCTGGAGACCCGCAGTCACCTGGTGTCCCTAGGTGAGGAAGCGCCAGTGTAACACTCTAGTGCAATGCTGTCTTCTGCACCGAAATGTGTGCACTTGCTTATGAAACTGAGTGCTGGTGAGGTTGAACATGCAGGCAGTGTACATTGTGGGTGTTTCGGTTTTTGTTTTTTGGTATTTTTAGGAAAGATTCAGATTGGCCTCTTTTGTATATGTCGTCACACTGCATTTGATAGTTTTCAAAGACTGAAGTTAAGCTTGATTGAAGACCAACACTGTTTCTCATCACAGGGCATTGTGTTTACGATCCTGAGGAGAGCATCAGGTCGGAGCAGGGAGTACAGCCGTGGTCTGTGGACGATCCCCCAAGCCAGGACCTCTCAGGTCAGTCAGTGCTTGCCAGGCTGGGAGGCTGAGAGGAGGCTGGCAGTGTGGCCAGTGATAATGGCCACACTGAGGTGCTTCGCATTGTGCTACCTTGGACAGTGTGTCTGCATACATCAAACTGATTCTTTCTTCTTTCTTTCTTTTTTTTTTTTTTTAAGATTTATTTATTTATTTATTTATTTATTTATTTATGCAAGCATGGGGTACAGTCAGACAGAAGCGCAGGAGGGCAAGAGAACTCACCAGAGACAGAGCCATGAGCAGAGCAGGCAGAAGTACCGAAGTACACTGCTGAGGGGAGCATGGGGCGGCAGGAGAGGTCTGCGCGTCATGCGGGACCCTCCTCCGGTGGCCGGGGAGCAGCCAGGGATCGAACCGGTGCTGCAGAGGCCTCGGGCAGCTTCGCAACCCAGCACTCAACCACTGCGCCACCGGGGAGGCCCTCAAACTGATTCTTTATTCAGTGCCCAAATATTGCTCTCGTGTATTTCCTCCTGCTCTTTTAATGGTGTTTATCTATGTTCTTAAACCAGTATGCAGTCCCTGATACTGTGGGGATTATTCTGCATTAATCACGTTTCTGTATTCTCTCTCTTAGTGTATTCTCATAGACTACTTTCTTTAGGTACCTGTTCAGGAATTATTTTTTTCTGTATGTTCATGGGAAGTTTAGCCAGTGGTAAATTTTCTATGAGAGGGGAGAGCAACAGTACTCACAGAAATGATCTTTGCTTTCTGAAGTTATACACTGTGTGAGGAAAGAATATATTAAATACATTTATTGATAGAGAGGTAAAGCCACAGAGGATGTTTGACCAGCATGAGTGAAACAAAGTGGAGGATGTTGTTTTTGCGTGTGTGCTCCATACGCATCATTATGGAGATTAATTCTTTTCTTTCAGAGCTCAGGTGAGGTGAATGGCTTGCACTGACATGTCATATCTATAGTTCCCTCTCCAGTCTGGGCTAGTGGCTGTCTATTGCTATTAAAGATGTCACTTTGCAGGTGACCAACTCAAAAGGGATAGAGGTTCGTTGAGTGGAGAGTTATTTAGAACATGAGTAGTGTTTCAGGGGCAAGCCTTGCGACCGCCCACATAGTAAATGGTGAGGCTGAGGAGGACCCAGAAATTGTTCATCATTGGAAGGGATGTTCTGTGACATGGGAGGGGGAACCTGAGGTGGTGGTTTCTAAAGCCATGGCTCCATGAGTTTGAGGTTCGGGGCTCATACCTTGGGGAGCAGTGTGACCTGTGCAATTCCACCTTGTCGTGGGCATTGTTGGGAGGAAAGTAAAGGAATCAACGACAGTGTGATGTAGGTGAGAGTCACACACGACATAGAAACTGGAGTTACTCTGAACAAAGTAGAAACACAGGTTCCAAGCAGTGTAGTGGGAATACCAGGGTGTTGCTCTCAAAAGCATATGGGAAAAGCCGTTAACGCTGATAGCCACAGGCAGGATGCAGAACTTTTTTCCTGTCACTCAGCAGGGAATATGGGACATGATGATGGGGCGGAGTTTGCTGCATGTGTTAGATTTCTGATCCTTATGCGATATGATATTTAAATAAGAACTGACAGGTCTCTGCCGTGGAGGGAAGCGCATGCCTCTGAGAACCTCTGCAGGTGTCGTGGCCAGGGCCGGGGTGGAAAGAAAAACTAAAAAAAGGCGAAGCAGGGCCTCCCCGGTGGCGCAGCGGTTGAGCGCTGGGTTGCGAGGCTGCCCGTGGCCTCTGCGGCGCCGGTTCGATCCCCGGCTGCTCCCCAGCCACCGGAGGAGGGTCCTACATGGCGCGCAGACCTCTCCTGCCGCCCGCTGCTCCCCTCAGCAGTGTACTTCGGTCCTTCTGCCTGCTCTGCTCCCTGCTCTGGCTCTGGTGAATTCTCTCACCCTCCTGCGTTTCTGACTGTACCCAGTGCATGTATAAACAAAAAACAAACAAATAAATAAATAAAATAAAAACATGCCTCTATAAAAAAAAAAAAAAAATGGCGAAGCAGATTTCTTGTGTCTCAGCAGGCCTCTTGCTTAAAGTGCTTAGGCAATGACTGGGTCACTCCATCCACAGGTTTCCGGGAAAGCCATGTCCTCTGCAAGGCTTGGTTATTCAGAAAGTTCCTGCAAGAGCTGCACAGGGTCTGTCTAAGAAAGAAAGCATGTAGGATCTATGTTGGGTGAAATGCTTCTGGTTGAAATCAACAACTTTAGTTAAAGGACTGCTTTTTTTTTTTTTTTTTTTTTTTTCAAATTTTTTTTTTTAATAGAGGCATGTTATTTATTTATTTGTTTGTTTTGTTTATATATGCACTGGGTACAGTCAGAAGCGCGGGAGGGTGAGAGAATTCACCAGAGCCAGAGCGGGGAGCAGAGCAGGCAGAAGGACCGAAGTACACTGCTGAGGGGAGCAGCGGGCGGCAGGAGAGGTCTGCGCGCCATTTGGGACTCTCCTCCGGTGGCCGGGGAGCAGCCGGGGATCAAACCTGCGTCGCAGAGGCCGCGGGCAGCTTCACAACCCAGTGCTCAACTGCTGCGCCACCAAGAAGGCCCTAAAGGACTGTTTTTACCAAATATTTATGATTTTATAAAACCATGGTGAAATTAGTTTTACTGCTTTGTTGTGCTGATTTGGCATTAGAAAATCTGTTAATTGGGGCCTCCCTGGAGACCTAGGGATTAAGTCTCTTAACTCTCACTATTATGGCCTGAGTTTGATCTACAGTGAAGGAGCTCACCCACTTTGGCACAGCAGACCTCTCCTGTCTCACCCGCTGCTCCCCTCAGCAGTGTATTTCAGTCTATCTGCCTGTTCTGTTCAACACACTGTCTCCATGCTCCCCTATAACACCCCACTCCTGCACCTCTGGCCTACACCCCAGATCTTCTATACTAAAATACAAAATACCAAGAAATCTATTCTCCCCATAATTTGCTACGGGCAAAAAGCATGAATCAGAGAATCAGTACCTGTAAATTATATTATAATATAGGAGCTTTTGTGCCGCATAGTAGTATTCACTCAAAATGCTTCCTTTTTAGAGACATGATCAGTTTTTTCTCACTTTAGATGTTCATGCTGTGGATCACCTGACTCACAACATCCCTGCAAATCAGGGCAGACATGTGTGGCAAGTTCTTACCGCCAGCAGCAAAATACCATCCAACGAGAGAACTTACTTAATGGAAAAAAGCAGTTTAGACTCAATTCACTGTTTGAACCATAGTATCAAAAATGGAAACAATTCAGCAATGATGCCTGAGAACTTTACTATACATAGGACCATGATGATCCCTGGTGAGCCTCATGAGGAGCATGCTGGAGAGAACGAGGAGGTCTTTATTAGGATGAGGGAACCCAGCAAGTATCCTGAGCACCTTAGTTACCAGGTGATTCAGAACTTTCAACAACCTTTTGAATTTCGTGAACAAGGAAAAGTCTTGAGTGAAGAAACAATATTTTCACCTAGAGGAGCCCTTCCGGAAGGGGCTGCCCGTAAATGCAATGAGTGCAGGGACACCCGTGATGACGCACCTTTCCATGTCCGAGACAGAACCCAAGGAAGACAGACTCCCTGCAGTTGTAATGAAAAGCGGGGAGCTGCGGAGATGACTCGAATGCATTTGAATCCTCCTAGGTATGTTGAACATGAGCAGCAGGAATGTTATGAAAGTGGGGCCAGTCTCAGCAACACATTTCACACCTATCCGCATGAGAGTACCCATTTAGGACAGAATAATTTTGCATATAAGAGATATGGTGAAGCGGCCTCTAAAACCTCTGTTCTGACTGAACATCAGAAATCACAAGGAGACGATCAACCTGATGAGTGTGGGGTCACCTCTCAGAATTCCTTACAGAGGGGACACCAGAGAAATCTCATTGCAGTGAAGTTGTTTGGCTCTAACGATTATGTGAAAACTTTCTCATGGAAGACTGCCCGCACTGTACATCCACAATCTCAAACGGGAGTGAAGCGCTACGCATGTCAGGTTTATAAGAAAACTTTCAGGCACAAATCTGCTTTTAGTGTCCATCAGAGAACTCATACCTGGGAGAAACCCTATGAATGTCAGGCATGCAGGAAAGTGTTCTCCTGTAAGTCAGTTCTTGTTCTACATGAGAGGACTCACACTGGAGAGAAACCCTATGAATGTGAAGGGTGTGGGAAAGCTTTTTCCAGTAAGTATTACCTCAGTGAGCATCGGAGAATTCATAGTGGAGAGAAGCCTTTTGAATGTCAAGAGTGTAGGAAGACTTTCTCGTGGAAATCATCCCTCACTCACCATCAGAAAAGTCACACTGGAGAGAAACCCTATGAATGTGAAGGGTGTGGGAAAGCTTTTTCCAGTAAGTATTACCTCAGTGAGCATCAGAGAATTCACACTGGAGAGAAGCCTTATGTATGTCAAGAGTGTGGGAAGACTTTCTGCCAGAAATCATCCCTCAGGAAACATAAGAGAAGTCACACTGGAGAGAAGCCTTATGAATGTCAAGAGTGCGGGAAGACTTTCTACCAGAAATCATCCCTCACTGAACATCAGAGACTTCACACTGGTGAGAAACTCTATGATTGCGAAGGGTGTGGGAAAGCTTTTTCTACTAAGGCACACCTTATTAGACATAAGAGGAGTCACACTGGAGCTAAACCCTATGATTGCAAAGAGTGTGGGAAAGCTTTTCCCAGTAAGTATTACCTCAGTGCGCATCAGAAAATTCACAGTGGAGGGAAGCCTTATGAATGTCAAGAGTGTAGGAAGACTTTCTCCTGGAAATCATCCCTCAGTGACCATCAGAGAAGTCACACTGGAGAGAAACCCTATTGTGAAAAGTGTGGGAAAACTTTTTCTAGTAAGTCATACCTCATTATTCATCAGAGAAGTCACACTGGAGAGAAACCTTATGAATGTGAAGAGTGTGGGAAAGCTTTTTCTAGTAAGTCATCCCTCACTGTCCATCAGAGAAGTCACACTGGAGAGAAACCCTATTATTGTGAAAAGTGTGGGAAAACTTTTTCTAGTAAGTCACACCTCATTACTCATCGGAGAATTCACACTGGAGAGAAACCCTATGAATGTGAAGGGTGTGGGAAAGCTTTTTCCAGTAAGTCATCCCTCAGTCACCATCAGAGAAGTCACACTGGAGAGAATCTGTATGAATGTCAAAGGTGTGGGAAAGCTTTTTCCAGTAAGTCTTACCTCAGTGAGCATCAGAGAATTCACACTGGAGAGAAGCCTTATGAATGTCAAGAGTGTAGGAAGACTTTCCAGTGGAAATTATCCCTCAGTCTCCATCAGAGAATTCACACTGGAGAGAAGCCTTATGAATGTCAGGAGTGTAGGATGACTTTCCAGTGGAAATCATCCCTCAGTGAGCATCAGAGAATTCACACTGGAGAGAAGTCTTATGAGTGTCAAGTGTGCAGGAAGACTTTCCACCTGAAATCATTACTCACTGAACATAAGAGACTTCACGCTGGTGAGAAACGCTATTATTGCGAAGAGTGTGGCAAAGCTTTTTCTACTAAGGCACACCTCATTAGACATAAGAGAAGTCACACTGGAGAGAAACCCTATGATTGTGAAGAATGTGGCAAAGCTTTTTCTACTAAGGCACACCTCATTAGACATCAGAGAAGTCACACCGGAGAGAAACCGTATGAATGTGAAGGGTGTGGGAAAGTTTTTTCCAGTAAGTCTTACCTCAGTGAGCATCAGAGAATTCACACTGGAGAGAAGCGTTATGAATGTCAAGAGTGTGGGAAGACTTTCCAGTGGAAATCATCCCTCACAAAACATAAGAAAAGTCACACTGGAGAGAAGCCTTATGAATGTCAAGAGTGCAGGAAGACTTTCCACCAGAAATCATCCCTCACTGAACATCAGAGACGTCACACTACTGAGAAACGCTTTGATTGCTAAGGGTGTGGGAAATCTTTTTCCCGTAAGTCACACCTCATTAGTCATGAGCAGTTACACTGGCGAGAAACCCTATGAATGTGAAGAGTGTGAAAGCTTTTTCTAGTAAACCACACCTCATTACACATCAGAATTCATACTGGAGAGAAATCCTATGAGTGTCAAGAGTGTGGGAAAACATTCCGCAGAAATCATCCCTCAGTAATCATCAGAGAAGTCACACCGGAGAGAAGCCTTATGAGTGTCAAGAGTGTGGGAAAACTTTTTCCAGTAAGCACGCTCTCACTGGACATCAGCGAAGTCACTGGAGTAAGTCCCTATGATTATTAAGAATGTGGGAAAACTTCTCAGGAAGTCAGCCCCCACTAGGCATGACAGATTCCACACTGGAGGGAAATGCTATGAATGTCGAGTGGACAGGCAGGCCTCCCCTGGTGGTGCAGGTGGTTGAGCGCAGCGCTGTGAAGCTGTCTGTGGCCTTTGCGGTGGGAGTTTGATTCCCTGGCGGGTCAGGAGCAACTCCATGGTGCGGCAGACCTCTCCTGTCTTGCCCACTGCGTGTATTTCAGCCGTGTATTTCTGTCAGTTTGCCAGTTTTGTTTCCAGTCTGTCTCTGGTGCATCCTCTCACCTCCCACACGTCTGGCTTTTACCCCGGTTCTTGTATCCTTGAATAAATAAAAATCTTTTAAAAATAATCAAACTTGGGAACTCAACCACATCATTCAGTTGAGAGCAATGGGAACTGACATACAGTTTCACTCCTAATTGCATGGAGTTTCCTGGTTCACTCTGTTCTCCCAAGTTCATGCAGTGATGATGTCGCTGTTCCTGTTGCTGTTGCTTCTGGTATCCTCTTCAGTTTCTGGGCGATATCATTCATGTGCGTGTGTAAGTGATCTCTCTGGGTTTTCTAGCTTTGTCATCACGGTCTGTCCAGTACTCTAAGCTTCTGTGGTTCCCCCCTAACGCTGGAATTGCTCACCTCCAAAATGTCCTCTAGAAGGAAAAGTTCAACTGTGTGCTATTGTTTGTAGGTTGAAGTCTGCAGGTGTCTTTACCTATCATTCATGATGAAGGTTTTTCAGGGCCTCCCTGGTGGCCTCGGGGTTAAGTCTCAGTGCTATTGCCCGCTCTGGCCGGGGTTTCAGCCTCAGCTAGGGAGCTGCCCCACATATGGCCGCAGCAGGCCTCTCCTGTGTCACCCGCTGCTCCCGGTAGCCAGGTATTTCAGTGGTTCTGCCTGTTTGTCACCACACTCAGTATCTGGTGAATCCTCTCACCCCCGAAACTCCGGTCTACACCCCAGTTCTACAAAATTAGGGAATTTTTTTGGAAGATTATTTCTGCATGCAGGAAGTGGGGTGCAACCCAGAGGTATGAGGGGGTGAGAGGATTCTCCACAGCGAGATTGGGGAGCACAACAGTTGGATCTACTGAAATCCACTGCTGAGGGGGCCAGTGGGGAGACAGAACAGGTCTACTGTGCCATGTGGGTCACCTCCCTGTCCAGGGATCGAACTCGTGTCTGCAGTACTGAGAACAGCTTCATAGTGTTGAGTCTTCACCCCTGAGCCACCAGAGGACCCAGAATTTTTTTTAAATAAGGATTCTGGGCCTCCCCTTGGCGCAGTGGTTGAGCGCTGGGTTGCGAATCTGCCCGAGGCCTCTGCAGCGCCCGTTCGATCCCCTGCTGCTCCCCGGGCACTAGAGGAGGTTCCCACAATGCGCGCAGACCTCTCCTGCCTCCCCCTGCTCCCCTCTGCAGTGTACTAAGCCAGTCTGCCTGCTCTGCTCCCCGCTCTGGCTCTGGTGAATTCTCTAACCCTCCCACGCTCTCACTGTACCCAGTGCATGTATATAACAAAAAAAAAAAAAAGAAACAAAAAAACAAACAAACAAATAAATAAATGATATGCCTCTATTAAAAAAAATAAAGGAAAGGGTTCTTGCCTTTTAAAAACTTTTTTAAATTTTTTTTATTACATTGTTGTTCATCTTTGTGCAATATTGGATTGCTCCCCTTCTGTATAATTTTTGCAAATGTCCTGTCCGCACCGCCTCTGTGACCCGTCACCCCAGGCCCTGGTGCTCCTCCTCCCCTCCTGGCCCCTCTTCTGCCCTATCCCCTGCTCGTGTCTCAGCTCTGTCATCTGCCTGCTAGTTTTGTCTTTTTTCCCTGACCCTTTCTTCTGTTTCCCTGTATTCCTCCTGAAGGTTATCGACGTAATCCAGGTCTTTTTCCTTCTCTCTTTGTTCAGAACATAATCCCTTCCGCTGTTGCTGGCCGTGTCCTGAATGTGATGTTTGAGTCAGTTCATACCTTGGGGGTGAGTGGTCGGCGTGGAAGGTGGTGGTAGAGGAAGTGGTGATGCCGAGCAGAGAGAGACCCCTAATAACCAAAGCTTTCCTGATTAAAAGTGGGGGGAAATGAAGGAGTCACACTTCTGACCTGAAACTAAAGGTCTGGCGCCTCCCTGGTGGCCCAGGGGTTAAACACAGTGCTCTCCAACTACTGCAGCCACCGTGCACAAGTTGGATCCCCAGCCGGCCGGGCACTGACTGACATGGCGCGGCCGACCTCTCCTGACTGGCCTGGTGCTCCCCGCCCTGCACACCTGGAGGGACATGTTGGCCACGGTGCGGTGAGATACATCTCTCACTCCTTCCTGCGACAAGAATGAAATGGTGCCATCCTCCTATAGAGAGCTGGGCATGTAGAATATGCAGACTGCTTGATGCGGGCTTTCTTTTTCGGGGGGAGTGACCTGAGGAGATGCTTTCCAATGCCGATGAAATTCTTCGCGTGGAAACGTGTTCACCAGCCGTGTTTTGCAGCAACAAATCGCTGGAGACGATGTGTAAGTGCCAACCGTGAGGACGGTTGGACAGAGGACAGTGGACCGTGTCCCTGGACTGCGCTGGGGCAGCTGCAGGTGGACAGTGGAGCTGGCTGAGGAGGATGCGGGGCCCAGCAGGGGTCTCGGTAAGCGCAGGGCAGAAAGGCCGCCCTGCCGGGTGCCGAGAGGCGGGGATGCCGCGAATGCTGGGTGGCGTAGGGCTTGGGGTGTTGCTGGGGTGGGGAGCCGGGTGCACAGTGCCCCAGCCCGACGGGCGCAGTGGGCCCACCTGTCTCTCCCGGGAGGGCCGGTCTGGCGCGTCCGCGGTCCCTGCTGAGGAATCCCGAGCAGGTGCCCAGCTCGGGACAGACGCCTGTCGCCCCTCGAATGGCTCCCGTCACGTCCGTGGCTGTGTTGGGAGCAGACACAGGCCATCTCCTCATTTCGGTGGAACTCCCTGACGGGCGCCCCCTCGGGATTCGCCCAGGTGTGTCGGCTCCGCGCACCTGCCGGCCGCACCTGTGTGTTCCTGCCCGCGCCCGCGTGCCCCACCTAAGTCCCGAAATGAAGTCGGGGCTGTTGGGACCCCAGTTTCTGTGAGACCAGTCTCCTAGAGCCTGGAGCCTCACGGTCGCCAGAGTAGCAGGTGAGTCCTGGGTGGGGGCTTGGGAACACCCCCATGTGGCTCCCCACGGAGAAGGGCTTTGCGGGCCCTTCGGGGGCACTGCAGGTGGCAACCGGGGGGCTTGGCTGTTGTCTTCCCGGGCCTGGAGGACCCTGGGGGTCGGGGCTCATTCCTGAGCGTGACCCTCCGTGTCCCGCCTTTGTGGTCGGGTCTCCAGGTACGTCGTGCCAAGTGGGTGCACCTGGGGTGGATGCAACGGACCTGTCATCCCCACCCATGTGTTCATCTCAGGGACTCGCCTCAGGGTTTGGGGACCGCGGGGTGACATAGTCCAGGGCCATCGACCCCTCCCTCCCTGCCGGGTCTGACTGGCAGGGGAGCACCCCGCCCCTACCCGGGTCTGAATGGCTGCCTAGAAGGAAGGGGAGCAGGATTCCCCACCCCACTGTATGCCCTGGGGGCCGGTGATGAGGATCTAACCCGGGCTCCCAGCCTCTGCCCTCCAGAGAGGATATTCAGGAAGGAGGCCCCAGGGCCTCCCTTGGGAGCAAAGGTCAGACTCTGCTCTGTGAGGCTGTCCACAGCCTCTGCAGTGCGAGTTCGGACCCAGCCAGGGAGCTACTCACAAGACGTGGCAGACCCCTCCATTCACCCACTGCTCCCCTCAGCAGTGTTTCAGTAGATCCTCTTGTTCTGTTCCCCACTCTCTGTGGTGAATCCTCTCACCCCCCACACCTCTGGCCTGTACCCCAGTTCTTGTATGTATAAATAAAAAATGAGGAGATAAATCCTCTACATGATTATGTCACGAAAGGCAGGAGGCAAAGTCCCTCTGTGCTCATGCTTCTTCTCTGGTAAAGTAAATTCAAACTTTTTTTGACAGAAAGTGGATCAGGCGGCTTCCAGTGTGAAAATCTTCACTTTATTTTTTTTCCCAAAGATTATTTATTTATACAAGAACCGGGATACAGGCCAGATGTTCGGGAGGATGAGAGGATCCACCAGAGCCGGGAACAGAACAGGCAGACTGATGAAATACACTGCTGAGGCGATCAGCGGAAGTGGCAGGAGAGGTCTTTACGCCATATGAGACCCTCGCCGGCTGGCCAGAGGTCAAACCGGTACTGCAGAGGCTGCGGGCAGTTTCACAGCCCAGCGCTCAACCACTACGCCACCAGGAGATGCCCCCAAATCAGGCTGCATGTTCATAATGAAGGGCAGGCTGCGGGTTCAGAAAGACCGGCAGCTCCCCTCCCGGCTCCCCGTTGGCTAGTTCCTTTGGCAACTATCAGTTCAAAATCACATCTGATAGAATGAAAGTCTCCCAGTAATTTGAGCAGAGGCCATGCCAGGGACTGTATTGATTCAGGTTGTCCTAAATTGGCTTCTGAGTGGAAACAAGTTTTTTTCTAGCTGGCCTGCAGGGCTGTGATTGAATAGGAAAGGAAACCAGTGACTCTATGAGTTTCATTTTTCTAAATTGTTGATAATGTAAGTTGGGATATTCCTCAGATTTTCATTTTAGGTTTCTCCACCTAGCCATGGTATTTGGGGGCTTTCACCCGCGAGGCCTCTGAGCTCGATGTCTCAAACAAGAATTCTCATTTGAGGCTGGGGTATTTAGAAAGAAAATTGACTTTTAGAGAAGCATGAAAAATATTTTAGTAAGTTTATTCCAGTTTTATCTACTGCAACGCGTGTAGTAGGTAGATGAAGAAATGGGAGGAATAAAGCCCCAGATAGCTGACTTTTTAACACAAAACTCACTGCGAGTGGGCTTGGATATACGTTAGTGCTCCATTGGTCCTAGTTTCTGTCTAACTTTAATAATTAGGGGAAAATTCC